TGTCATTCTAGGATTGATGGATATCTCCTTCCCAGGGATTGTCCTGTCATTAGGAAAGGATGTATTGGGAAAGGATCAACGTTATCAATGTGTTGCCTTTTTCCTCACTCCTTCTTCCCAGGCCACAGTATTTTAGGGTGTTTTCCATATCTTACAGTGTTTCCATTCAACCTTATACTGTCTCCAGAGACCTTTCCCATAACTTCTCTGTCTTCTTATATTTCTGTATCTTTTTATGACTCATCCTCTTAAAATGAAGCACTGGGTGTGGTGGTGCTGGTCTGTAAATCCTAGCAACTTGGGAAGCTAAGGCAGGACAATTGTAAATTCACAGCCAGCCTGGGCAATTCAGTGAGACCCTGTTTCAAAATTAAATGAATGAGTAGCTGGGCACAGTGGCACATGCCTTTAATCCCACTGATTTAGGAATCTGAGGCAGGAGGATCGCCAGTTCAAACCCAACCTCAACAATTTACTGAGAACCTAAGCAATCCAGCAAGACACAGTCTCTGGTTAAATATAAAAAAGGGCTGGGGATGTGGATCAGTGGTTAAGCACTCCTGGATTCAGTCCCTGGAACAACAACAACAAAAAAAAAGATTTAAAATGAATGAATACATAGATTAATAAAAGGTAGGAAGCATAGTTCAGTGGTAGAGCTCCCTTGGGTTCAATCCCCAGTACTGGAAAAAACAAATCCCACAAATAAACAACAACCCTATGCGCCCCCCTCCCCCCAAAACCAAACAAACAAACAAACAAAAAACAAAACAAAACAAAAAAACAAAACACAACAAGCTTTTGCTTCACAGGCCACAACTTTCTATCAGGCATTTACTAAAAACTGCTACAACTGTTAATATGTATCTCCTAGAGCTCAGAGAATCTCTCAAGGACCAGAGCATTTCCCCAAAATGTAACCATCAAAAGAGTGAGACAATCCCCAAGACCTCTGCAAGGGGACAGAAACCAATTTTAATCATTGCCAGCCTACAAATGCAGGTGCTGTAATCTCATTCATCTAACCTACTCTTTGTTCTTTTTGCTTTTCTTTCTCTAGTGAGCTTCTGTACTTCCCCTTCCTCTAAAAACATCCAAATCAGAATGGAGCCAAGCTCTTTCCCCTACTGCTAGGCATTTTCAGGATTTCCTCATTTTTAAAAAACATTTTTTTTAATTGTAGATGGGCACAGTATCTTTGTTTTATTTATGTGGTGCTGAGGATCAAACCCAGTGCCTCACACATAAGAGGCAAGTGCTCAATCACTGAGCTACAACCCCAGCCCAAATTTCCTCGTTTTTAACTGATATGTAAGATGTTTTCCAGAACATGGGGTCATATGAAATACCTTAAAATCTGATTTAAAGATGACCACAAGGGGAACATTTATAAGTATCAGACCAATGGACCAGGAGCTACACAGACTAAAATGAAGAATAAAGAATGAATAAAAACAAGAGGGTACTGAGAGAGCAAATCTGACTATGCCCGTCTAACCTAAAATGATTGCACTGGAATTCTTTTTTTTCTTTTAATGATACTGGGGATTGAATCCAAGGTCTCCTGCATGCTAGTAAGTGCTCTACCATTAAACTGCACCCCAGCTCTGAATTTACATTCTTTTCAAAAGAGAATTATTTCACAGGCAATGTGACGTCACTCTCAAGACATCCTTATCAGAGTATAAGCTAACAGATGCATAAGACTTGCTCCTTTGAGGTCTTTCTTTAAATCCTGTAACTTTATAGAGGAAGAGACACAATATTCTGGGAAGTAGTACATGTTTACAAAACTTCCTTTAGTGTTCTCCATTAGTTTCAGTGGTACAATTGCACTTGTACTCTCAAAAGATGGGAAGTGAATTCCACTATCAGAGTAAGTTCATGAAGTAAATCCTGAGAAAGTAAGAAAAAACTAGAACCCATGGGACCTAGTGGGAAGGATTGCCTGCATTGCTTCTTTTTTGGTAGACAGTTTTTACCTGGACTGCATTGTATTTGTCTAATTTTAGGTGAAGTAGGTCTTTTAGAACAGGTCCTACCAGGCACAGTGGCACTTGCCTGTAATTCCAGTGACTTGGGAGACTGAGGCAGGAGGATTGCAAGTTCCAGGTCAGAAACTTAGAAAGACCCTGTCTCAAA